GAATCAGCGCCCCGGCTGGCCCTTCCAGCCAATGCCGGACCTGGGGAGGAGCAGCCCGGCCGCTGTCCACCAGCCACTCAGGGCTTGCTGGGCCTGGAGGAAGGTGACATCATCGTAACTGGGAGGTTTCCGAAGGTCCCACCAATAGGAAACAGGCGAAGTGGCTTGCCTTCTATCGCTTTTAGCCAATACTAACAAAGCAAAAGGGGCCCGGTTGTCGGTATAGAACCAATGGAAAACAGGGAAGGAGCACGAGGAGGAGTTGCGAATCCTGTCACCAATTGCAAAAAGGAGGTGGAGTCCGGGCCTTGTCAAGCATGACCAGCCAGCGAGAGGAGCGGACTTTAGGGGGCGGAGCCATGTCGCCCTCACCCAATGGTATGAGGCAAGGGGTGGGGCATTCTCCGGGGTGCCCAATGAGAAACGCAGTCGAAGCGGGCCTGTCAAGAGAAGGGGCTGGGGGCGGGGGGATGGTGAGTCGGGGATAAACACTCCGCGGCGGTGGCGGCTGCTGCTCTGCTCCGGGTTCTGTCACGGTGTCGGCGGTGCCCAGCTCACTGGCCCCCCTCCCCCTCCCGGCGAGCGTGGTCGCCAGAGAGGCTCCCTCCGCCCCCCCCTCCGTTTTTTTTCGGGTGAACAGCCGGATGCGGCTGGAGGCGGCCGACTATCTGGAGCGGCGGGAGAGAGGTGCACGGGGACGGGGAAGGGTCTGGCCTAAGTCGGGGCCAGGGGCTCTGAGGGGCCCAGCTGCGGGGTCGGGGCACGCAAGCCGCTCCGGGGGTGGTTGAAGGCGCCGAGAGCGCGACCGCGAGCCCTCTCAACCCCTCCAGCTCTCTCCACGTTCGGTCGGAAGAGAGGCCACTGGTGCCCCAAAAGCAATGAATGGGGGTGGGAAAGGGGCTGCCGCCCCCAGGTTCCCAAGCGCCTCCCCTCCCTACCCGCTAGCGAGTGAGGTGCCCGCGGGAGCCCCCTCAGCCAGTCCCGTCTGGTTTACCTCACCCGGGTTGGTCCCAGTCTGTTCCCAAGTGGGCTGGGGAACCCTCTCCCGGGCGGAGGAGCAGCACCTCCCCTGGTGTTTGTCCCGCACCTTCGCCTGGGGCTGGTCCCACTCAACACCATACCAACCTGCTGGATGTTGCCGGTGGGAAACAGGCTCCGAGAGCTTAGCCACTTGCTGTGTCTGTCTCAACAATGAGCAGCTGGAATCCTCCCTACACCTGCTCCGAACTGAGGGCATTCACACAGTTAAAAGAAAAAAAATCATTGTTCTCAGAATTCCACCTTGCTCCATTTAGTTATTTCTACAATATTCTTTTAAAGATAAGTAAGTGCAAAAGGAAACACTGTGGAGGGGAGAGAGTATTAAATGTTCTGGGCCCATTCATTAACTGGATCCTCCGGTTTTCTAGAAGCTGAGCATGGTTATGCCTCCATGTTACCATACAATAACAAGGACAGAGATGCCTTAAAACGGAGGAACAAATCGAAGAAGAATAACAGCAGTAGCAGGTAATTTGGTAAATATTTCTCCTTCTTTTTTAGATTATATAGTAGGTAACACAGACTGCAAAATGCAAGTTTCCTGTTGTGATTGTAACCCTGTAAATACATTAAGTGGCGATCGTGATTCACTTATGCACACATGGTCTTAAGCCATTGAAAGAAGCAGCCCTTCTGTTTGAGTTGAGGGGACTGAAAAGAAAAAAATAAAAGAAATATACTACCTTTCTTTATGAACTTTTTTAAAATTTAATTTTGCTTTTCTTTTGGAACAAAAATCTGTAGAAACTTCAAGTGAGATTAGCCCTAGTGACAATATTTTGCCTTCAGGAGTTACAGGTTTGGGGCAAATTTTCTGTATTTTAAGATGTTGGACATTATCCATTTCTTTTCATAGTAAAGATTTTATAAATATGTTAAAGTATCTGACTTGGCCTAGGTGGTAGGATTTCATATTTGACATGTAAACCAAAATGTGGATTTGTCATGTCTATTTATAATGGCAAAGGGGGAATTATTGGGTTAAAACCTACCAATTTTGTGATGGAGAAACATAAAATAAAATATTAAGAAATTACATGTTTTTTTTTTTATGTTAACCATGTAGATAGCCTTATAGTTCTTAAAAGCTGTGAATCTCACTGAAAAGTTTTTGGTTAATAGTGCAATCATATAGTACGGTCCTAAGCAAAGTTCCTTATATTTATAGATATTCCATCAATACTATTGCCCATTTCCCCCACACACACACTTTGCCCTTAAAATATTAGTTGGGTAGGAAATGTGTGTTACTAGACCCATTCAATTATGCCTTTTTTTGTCAGTAAATTAACAACACTGACATTTTCATCACTGGTTTAGTCTCTTTATCTGTCCCTGAGTCTCATGAATAACTCCCTGCAGTTAAATATTTGGGTAGCCTGTGTGGGCTAATGCAGACCACTAAAAGCCAGGAAGTTCATACCTAAACCTGAAACTCATTTTTCTTGCTGCCTCCTAAGCTTGGTTCATCCCCTTGTCCTTAGTGTTGTTGTTGGAACCACAGGGTGTGGGCAGCACACTTGTGCCACACTCTTGAATAAGAAGGCACAAGAACAAACCTGCCAATTACCTGGTAGGTTTTCCCACCTTAGCATTATCTGAAGGTAGTAACCAATGGTTGTGTGCATAGGTGCTAAGGCCTTTTAAGAAGGATATTAATACTGACTTATGTTAGTCAGCAGTCAAAAACTGTGTTTCATTTTGTTACAGAATTTTGGAGCCTTTCAGTGTATTTTTCTGGAAAAGTATAGTCCATTTTTGCTTTTATTGTCCATTTATGACTTGAGGGGAGCTGTCCACATTACTTGTTGAGGATTAATACCTTAACACTTTATTTTCTCCTAAGTTTCACAGGAAGGTTGGGGAGGATGTTCAGTGATGAGGAGAGAAAAAGATGTTGAAGAGAAGTGGCTTGGCCCCAAAAGGTGATTAGGAAAGAATAGCAATGATGGTTGTGAATTTCAAGCCAAGAAATGGATTCTTTCTTTTCTCTTCTCCTTTGTAACCAGCATTATTCCTGAAAAATAGCTGCAAATCGTGGTTTTGGAAAAAGCTCTATTGCTTCCATTAATGAGTTTGGTTTGATGTTCATATTTAGAGATAGGGGGCTATCACATTGTCCACAGAGTTGACCAGTAACGAATTCGTGTAATACATTCAGTGCTGTAGGGATCTCTGAGAGACCATGATTACACCTGGAGATGGCACCTAGCAAATAGATGAAGAAAAAGCAGGTAGTTTTATTTAAGTGTGATCACTTCCTTCACGACCTGTTTGGAATGCTCTTACCTGAGGAGTACACAATCTCAACAGAGAAAGCAGCTTGACCCCTAGGTTTGAATCAACCCTGTATCCAAGGCCGCAGATGGTCAGAATTTCGAATTGATGTGAGAGCTAGGGAA